AAATTCTCGCTTTGAATCATTTAACTCTGAAAAAAGATGTTTGACTTATTTTTATTCTGAATTTTAAGTCTACTTTTTCGATATGTTTCAAATTCAAAATAAAAATTTCACCTTTTAAATATTCTGTTTTTAAAGAAAACCTCCACACATTCTTGATTTTTCTTTTATTGGTACGACATTTCGGTCCCTCAGACTTTCCTCAGGTACCAGTTAGGCTTTATCGATGTGTCCATAGAGATACATGTAGAACACCCCCCGCCCGGGACACTGGACTATGGTCAAAGTAAGGATCAGATTTTGCTCAAAGGATACTGACAAAATCATCGAAGCCCAGCAGAGTCCCCACGATCTCTTTGTCCGTTTTCATGACGATGTGAATCCTGGAGCCGATGCACTTGTCCACCAGCTCTGGAAAAAGAAAACAGAAAATAGAACGTGGTTAGAATTTATCTGCGACAAATAAAAGTAGTACACACGTTTAACTATAACAAGATGCACTTATGCCTATATATTTTGTTGTATTTTACCTAAACAAATTAGAGTTTGTGCCTCTGTTTACTGTTGGCAGTGATCAAATTGGTGCAAAATTGGGACATTTCTTGTATAAAATTAGGACAAATCACTAGTTTTGTATAAATCTGCTGGGACAGGGGACACAGGGTCAAAACTAGGACAGTCCCGGGGAAAAAAAGAGACACGTCTGGCTGAAATTATGGCAGATAACTTGTTCCATCAGATTTTGAATTTTAAATACCACTGAATTTCTCACTTTGAATTTTTTTAACTCTGAAAAAAGATGTTTGAATTGTTTTTATTCTAAATTTTAGTTGCTGAAATTTGAAGTTTACTTGTGTGTAATATGCTTTAAATTCAAAATTAAAGAAATTCACCACAGATATTTTCAATTTTACACTCTGAATTTTGACTGTTGAATTTGAAGGCTTGAAAATATTTTGCTGAATATTTTTGCTGAATATTTAAAATGATTTTATTTTTATATATACATAGAATTTAAACACTTTGAAAATGTACACTTAAAATTTCAGCAACCAAAATCATAATAAAAATAATTCAAAGATGTTTCTTCAGAGTTCAAAGTGAGAAATTCAACAGCATTTAAAATTCTAAATCTGATGAAATATGAAATCACTGACGTCTCCGATTTCCCTTGATTTTTCATATTTTGTTGTAGTCTGAAGTTAATCCCAGTTTTTCCCATTGAAATCACATTATATCCCACATTTGCCTCCATTCTGGAATTTATGTTTACATTTTTAAGGGTCTAATAATCGCTTTAGCTCATTTTCTTTTCTCCTGCAGTGAAACGTAAACGTAAAGCGGCGCAGAGCAACGTGACGCAAACCGTGACAGAAAACGCGCTAATATGTCTTTAAAATCACAGCTACAGCCGTTTACGTGAGGATATTAGCTCTGTCTACTTCACGTAAGAAATTAATGGTACAATTTCGATGAGTTAACGGGAATAAATCGTTGAATTTGTTGCACAAACCGAGAGGGAGAAGCTGCGACGGGTTCGTGGTCGCCATGTTTGAACTGCGGTGCACAAAGACTGAAGCAATCGAGCCCAGAGCGAAAGAGAAAGACGCGCGTAATCAACCACCGATCGGTCCATCGACAATCGTATTTATTTATTTATTTATTTATTTATTTATTGACGAAACATGTATAGATTTTTTGTTTGTTTTTTTGAACTGCTTGATCGAGACCAGAGCGAGAGAGACACATGTAATTAATCACCAGCAACGATCATATTTATTTATTATTTAGTTTGTTAATTAGTTAGTGATTAATTTATTTATTTGACAAAACATTTATAAAGTGTTTTTTTTAATTGTGGTGTGCAAAGACAGAAGCAATCGAGACCAGAGCGAAAGAGAGAGACGCGTGTAATCGACCACCGATCGGTCCATCACAATCTTATTTATTTATTTATTTATTTATTTATTTATGTGACGAAACACGTATAGATTTTTTTGTTTGTTTTTTTGAACTGCAGTGCACAAAGACAGAAGAGATCGAGACCAGAGCGAGAGAGACACATGTAATTAATCACCAGCAACGATCATATTTATTTATTTATTTATTATTTAGTTTGTTAATTAGTTAGTGATTAATTTATTTATTTGACAAAACATTTATAAAGTGTTTTTTTTTTTTTTACTGTGGTGTGCAAAGACAGAAGCAGTCGAGACCAGAGCGAAATAGAGAGACGCGTGTAATCGACCACCGATTGGTCCATCACAATCGTATTTATTTATTTATTTTTATTTATTTATTTATTTATTTTATTTTGCACAAAGACAATCGAGACCAGAGTGAGAGAGAGAGAGAGAGAGAGAGAGAGGCATGCGTAATCAACCACCAATTCATCAACAATCATTTTATTTATTTATTATTATTATTATTATTATTTTATTTTTATTTTTTTTGACAAAACATTTATAGATTTTATTTTTTTTTACTGTGGTGCACAAAGACTGAAGTAATCAAGACCAGAGCGCCCAAGTGAGCGACACATGTAATGCAACCACTGGTTGGCCCATCAATGATCATATGTATTCATTCATTTATTATGTGTTTATTTATTTATTTGAAAAATCATTTATACATTTTTTTTGGTGCAGAAAGACAATAGAGACTGGAGAGAGAGAGAGAGAGAGAGAGAGAGAGATGCACCTAATCAACCACCAATCCATCAACAATCATTTTATTTATTTATTTATTTATTTGACAAAACATTTGTAGATAATTTTTTTAACTGTGGTGCACAAAGACTGAAGT